TTCTGATTTAGCCCAAACCAGGACACATTGTTGGGTATTTTTTTAGAGAGAAAATAGTGAAATTCACCAATCAGATGTGGGAGTATACTTGTGCTTAGATTCATGACTGAGGAAACAGATTTGTAATAAAGGTTCAGCCTTTAAAAGCCTAAGAAAATTGTACTCATATTAAAAGCATTTTGTTTATACATCTGCATGGTAGACCTAGAGTCCAGGATTTTTCATTCCCTGTAGTGGAAGCCTGAGGCAAAGCTGAGCAGAACTTGCACATCTGGGAATTTCTTTGGCATTTAAAACAGTAGTGTCTATAGCCCTGTACTATTTCTTCTCTGCGTGGTCCCTCACTGATGGGCTTGAGAGATTGTTCTGGGAGCCTTGAGCTATAGTATTAACTGGGAGGCTAAACTGGTTGCGATGAACTCCTGAGCAGCTGTGCTTTATAAGCACGGGACAGGCATGGCTAGTGTTTGAGGAGAGAGGACTGGGAGCTGGAAGATATTTGTGGTATTTTTAGCTAGCCAGTGAATTTCTGCTGTCTGCAAAGAAATCATGCATCTTAAAATAAAGGAGGAGTGCTCTTCTACCACCAGTTTTCTGGGGGACTGAGCTGGGAGAGTTTCTTCAGGTGGAGAATGCTACGGTAGTGCCAAACCTAGAATATTATCACCATGTATTCACAATATCTTCATTCGGTACTTGTTCTTCATACACAGTCTATTCTGGGTTCACAAGTGTGGTTTTCTCTTTCTTTGCATGAAGCTCTCAGCAAGCAGAAGTGACCCACTGGCGTCCCTCCCCCTTTTTTGTGTTTTCCAGCTCCACATATTCACCCAACTACCATGCAGTGAAGAGGGAGTCAGAACCAGCACTGGGGGACCCTGCTGGCTTGGAGAATGAAAGGCAGATTTACAAGAGTGTGCTGGAAGGTGGAGATATCCCGTTCCAGGGGCTGAGTGGTCTCAAGCGACCTTCTAGCTCTGCTTCCACAAAAGGTAGGTGGCCAGGGCACTAACCTCTTCTCCATTTCGCACAGTGTCAAAAGCCAGGTGATAAGGGGCAAACTGCTGCAGGGTTTAGAGTCCAGTTCAAGCCAGTTGAGGTTTCCTCTGTCCTTCCTTTTTGCCATCCCCAGTTTTCCCTCCTTTTTTCTCTCAGACCATACTGGCCAATATTTGTCATGACCCCTTTATCTGATCCAAGGTTCTGCTTCCCAACAAGGACCAGCTCACTCAGCCGCATCTCACACCCTCATGTTCTTCCTTGGGGCTGCTCAGGCTGGCCTTGCTATCCATCTGCTCCCACTCCCTTGCCATGCTAGAGCCCTTCCCTGCCTTTTCTGCTCTTCCTGCTGTGAGATTTTGCAGGCCACACCATGTCTGCTGGCCTGGCTACCTTCGTGTAGCTGGCACCATGTGCTCCACAGCCTCCTGCCTGCAAGAGGTGTGCAGAGAATGCAAGGGACACTGAACCAGCCATGCCCTGCAGAGCCTGAGACAGTGAGGCAGCAGAGACTGCTTCATCTCCTCCCTTTTCCTCCCCCCATGGTGGACTCTCTAGAAGATTAGGACAAGGAAGAGCCTGACTCCCATCAGGGAGTTCTGTTGGGGAATGTAACTCAGAGCCAACTTCAACCTAAAAATGGCTTGAGATGGGGAGAGGACTAGGGAAGGAATGTGTTTGGTTTCTGAATCGCTCTCGCTAAAAGTAGTACCTCATGCCAAAAACGTCTCTCTTTGTCTCCATCTTCCATCTGTTTTTCAGCATTATGTCAGGCCTGTAGGGCAGGGAGTCAAACTGGATCTGAAGAAAAGAATCTGTTCAGTTACTGTTCCCCAAACTACAATTGAACCTAAAGGATTATTTTGACATTTGAGTTTGAGTTCAAATTGGAAACAGACCTAAAAACTGCAGCCTAAGCTGAACCCAGACTGGATCTGACTTACGAAAAACAACATACTGATCTGACTCCTTGATTTTTAAAGCAAACGTGGCCAACCATGTTGTCTGAAAGACACTCAGCTTATTCCTAGTATGGTGAATCTCTAAGCAGGTAGCTTTTGGGCAAGGCCAGCTGATGTGGCCTGCTTGTGCTAGCACAGTCAGCGCTGATTGTCTTCTCCCTCCCAGGAATATACAGTTTGGCAAGCACTGTGGTGAGTCCGTAGCAGGTGTGATTACAGGCTTGGTATTAAGCCATTTTTGCAATGTTAGTGCCTCTGCATTCTTGCTGACACCCCGATCTTGCCCAGAGTTCAGCTGCCCTTTTCCATGGTGCCACAGCTTCCCTGGAAGCTGATGCTGCTTAGCAGTTTTTAGGAGGATCCCCTCAAAGTGCTCCAGGTCTGCTTCTGGCCAAGCCTGTCATTATAGAGATGTTAGCAGTGCTTCACCTACTCCTGTAAGCGTGGCTTATTGTGCAGTTTCTTTCTGCTTTTCTTTATGTTTTGGAATTTTGTTTCTTTAAAGTGCATTTTATGAAATCCAAGCATGTTCTTTCTCCTTTCTCAATAGCTTTCTAGCACTTAAGCTAACAGGTTGTATTTATTTTATTCTGCATGCTTACCAGTGGATCGTAAAGGTGGGAATGCTCATATGACTGCACCCTCTTCAGTTAATAGCCGAACCTTTAACGCTAGTCATGCTGGTATGTTAGGTCACGCATGTAAACATAAGAAGCCCTTATCAGCTGCAAAAGCCTGCATTACTGAAATTCTCCCTTCTAAATTCAAACCCAAACTAGCAGCTCCAGCTGCTCTTGTGCAGGACAAGAAGGGTATCTTGCTGTCTCATGAGAAAGCTCAAAGCTGCGAAAACCTTCGTAGCTCCATTGCTTTGTTTGATAATAAAAAAGCTTTCATGGTAGACATAGGGGAAAACATAGAAAACATATTGATGAAGTCGAAGCAGGAGTATGCCATCAAATCCAGCAGTACCATGAGCCTTCAGGAGTATAGCACCAACTCTAGGAAAGGCTACCTGTTTCCTGCCTCCAGGAAGAATGGGATGGAGTTTACAATGCTGTACAAAGACATGCACCAGATCAACCGGTCCAGGATCCATTTGGGCACAGTCTCCTCCTGCAGCGTGAGGGATATTGCATCTCACTTTGAGAATGAAGCAAAGGACAGGATGGAGCACAGCCTTAGTCGAGAGGATTCAGAGCAGATCCCCAAACACACAGTTTCCTCCCGTATCAGTGCCTTTGAGCAGCTGATCCAGAGATCCCGATCAATGCCCTCGCTTGACTTTTCCACTGGACAAAACAAATTCACCACTTCTCTCCAGTCTAAAACTTGTCTGAGTTCTGCCTACTCTGCAGAGTTTCTTCTGGATTTGCCAAAAGCACACCAAGAAGAGAAGGATGCTGCCAGCTTGGCAGATAAATCTTCCCACTCCTGCAGCAACATGGAGGACACGGCTTCAGATGTCAGTGACGCCATCCCTATGGACACACTTTCAGCTTGCACGGATGAGATAGATCTCCTCTCAAATGCATCCAATGACAGTGGCAGCAGCAGCAGCAACCTCAATGGGCCTCAGAAGCATAAAATCAACAGATGCAAAGGCACATGCCCAGCTTCCTACACCAGATTCACTACCATCCGAAGGCATGAGCAGCAGCAGGCCTCCAGGAACCCTGATTCCAAAGGGGATGTGTATGGGGACAGACACATGCTCCCCAGAAACGTCTACCTAATGAGCCCACTCCCCTTCCGATTGAAAAAGCCCTTCCAAAACAAATCCTGCAGGACTCCACTCCCAGACTGCCCAGGAAGCCCAGCAGTGCCCAGCCCTGAGAACCCAGATGGCCCCATACAGCTGCAGGGGAGTGTAGGAGACAAGAGTCACCACTCCCAGCACCAACTGTGCTCCAGAAGCAGGCCTCTAGCCCCCAGGCGCCTGTCTTCCTTTGACATTGTGGAGAGGCTTAGCTACTTCCCCACCATGGGATCTATCCGAGATAGCTTCATGGGCCGGGCTGACACTCCTGACTCCTTAAGCAATGGGAACCCTGTTCCATATGCCCTCTGTCACAGCCTGGACACAAACAACAACCCGCAAAGTGAACTTGGGACGTACCTAGGAGGTGGCTTTTTGTGTTCTTTACCAGTGTTCCTTCATCTGTCTTCTTGCTTTCTTTCTCCTCCCCTTTTTCTTCCACAACCTTTGCATTTTTACTCCCCACCTTTATCTCCCCTGACTCTCTCTCTGTTTTTTCCCCTAGTGTGTGTAATGTCCTTTGTGTGTCTTGCTGAGCGTTTTTGTTCAGGACTTGTTAACAGTTGCACTTCTGAGAAACAATTTCTTCTGCCTTTCTAATAATACCGGGTTCAGTTTGTCTCTCAAGCAGCTCCGGGGATGCAAGAATCTCAACATGAGATATTTTTATCCTATATCGTTTGCATGTATGGGAATATAAAACAAACCCAGATGATTTGCTTTAAGGAGCAGTTTCTCAAGGTCTAGTTGTGTGTGTGTGCGTGTGTGTGTATTGAATTTTTCTCAACAGTAAAATGCCAAGTCATATTTTGATGGCAGCAAATCTTTTCTTCACAAAGTCTTTCTTTGTCTTTACACTTTCCTGTACTGTTATTTTCTCCCTGTTTTTGGATCTTTGTTCACAAGTACAGCCCAAAAGGGAAAAAAATGAAAATGGATAAATTATCGACATCTGATTGGCAATTTGGTCAATGGCAATTGAGAATCCTTACTGTCGTAATGGAAACAAATTGTTTAAAAATATCTATTTTTTTCCTTTCTGGTTATGCCAGATAAATCCATCCGTATTTTAACTTCCTTATGTTGTTTCGAAGTAGATTCAGAATCACCAAGGCATTTTGCACCAGTTGATTACATGGAAACTCCAGAAGAAATTATCCGCAGACGGCATGATGATAAAGAGGTAATGCCCTCTTTTATGGCCTAATAACAGTTGTAGCAGGTCCACATACAAGAAATACAGCATTCAGCCTTATATAAGGACAGCTTGTATGTCCATGGCTATGTATATTGGAAGTCATGGCAACAAGCTTGAACTAGTATGTTTTGATTTTTAAACTACCTCTGTCACTGGTTTAATGTATCATGTGTAGTCCAGTTCAGCTTTTGTTTAAAATGAACCCGATCGTTCTTATCAATTGCACAAAATATGGGGGCTTTAAAGAATGTAAAAAGGTTGAAATATATGTGAGATGTGGTGTAACACCCCAATACGCACAGAAAAAAATGCAATGGTTCTGTAAGTGAGTTGAGGTTTTATGGTTCTCCAGGCAAGCCACTTGAGTCAGTATTAATCAAACTGGTGAGAACAGTGTTTTTTCTTGTGGGGGTTCTCATGTTTTGAACAGCACATGTGAAGATATTTTAAGCTGTTGGAATGTGTGAAGTTTCCCCCCAGTGCGAACTAGAATTCTTTATAGTGTCTCAAGTTGTTGACTACAGAATGTAGCAGTCCTTTTTGAAATGGCTAGGCAACACTGGGACAAGCCAAAATAATAGGAAAGCCACACAGATTTTTCAGCACTGACTGTATTCAACCTAAGTTAAAGAATTTATAAAGTGATTGCTTTCCAGGAAGCTGGAATTAATTTTCACTGCTTGGGGAATAAAAGCGTATTTTTAGTGTTAACTTTCTAAGTTCAAATAACATTTATGGATGCTTTGAAATACGATAAAACCTGCTCTTAATTCCTATGTGAAAAATACATTTTTTTGTGCCTTCTCGTAGGAAACAGTTAGTTTTCCCCCAAATTCCAGCATAAAAACTCACGTAAGAGCAAAACTCTGAATTCACTAAGACCTGCTGGCTTCAAATGAGTTAGCATAGAGCTGAACTTTTCAGCCTACAGTCAGCCCCAAAAGGTGGAAGAATCCTTCTGCCCAGGTACTCAAGAATGCGTGTTTCCATTAGTATGCCAGAGACTTCAGAAGCCCAAAATTATTCTTTGGGGTTTATTTGCTTTATTTTATGAAGTGTATTACATGAAACTGAGGGACATACAGGAGAACCTGATACCTGCAGCTGGTTAGGCACTCTCACAGGCTCCTTGCAAAGCTCAGGGGAGTTTGGTGCCTCAGAACTTACCTGTGGGGCTGATTCAGGTCTCCTGGAAGTCAATGAGAGAAACTCCTTGTTGGTTGAAGGGAGTTTGGATCAGCCCTCTGCATTATCAGCAGTCGTCTTAGAAGCTCCCAGGACCTGGCCAAAACTTAGAGAAACTCCTCTTTGACTTCCATCAGCTTTGGATCAAATCTTCCATATGAGCTGGATTTCGGTTGTGCCATAATGGTGATGTACCTTCTGTGCTTGCCAAATGAAAGCGTATTGTGTGGTTAGTAGAATCAGTATTTTATATTGAACTGTAAAATCCCAGCTATTTCCTGGGACCTCAGAAATTTTATTTAAGGTACATGTATGGCAACTTTTGAATGCCTTTAACTAGATGATTTACTGCCCATTTTATGCAATTTTATGGCAGAAACTTTTAGAGGACCAGAGACGGCTTAAACGTGAGCAAGAAGAAGCTGATATTGCAGCTAGAAGGCACACAGGGGTTATTCCAACGCACCATCAGTTTATCACTAATGAGCGATTTGGGGACCTCCTAAATGTAGACGATACAGCAAAGAGGAAATCTGGGTCAGAGGTCTGTTTTAGTTACCTCAATCTGCTGCTTGACCCAAAGCAATATTTGCCTCTCACAATGTTGTGCTTTAGGCCGACATTAGCTCTTCAGAGAATGTCGTTTGGTTTGTTTTGTTTTTTTTTTTCCACCTTCCCCTTTCCCATTCTGGCTTCATTTAGATCTGCTTTGGCTCTTGTGCCTGATAAATTAATTTATCTCTATACCAAGCTGCATATGTTAAAGCATGCCTGCTGAGAATTGCTGGTGCACACCTGTGATGCATGCCTTTAAATATCAGCTACTTTAGTGAATCAAAGGCGTTCTACATCTTTTGCCTCATATTGCTACATTGTCTTCTTGTCTGTGCCTTATGCTTAGAAACTTCATGTCTTGTTGATCCTGGCCATGTGACTGTCTCATAGGTTTTTTTTTTTAGAAATAGATTGTTTCTACTCTTCTTGAAAGATGCTTAATGTCCTGTAGAAACAATTGGGAAAAGTCTCAGCATGTTTCACTGTGTACAACCTGGTTGGGCTTTCTGAAAGAGACAAAGGAGGACGTAGATGCTTTTTCCATGAGCCCAAGGCAGTTTTCCTGAGGGCTGGATGCTAGTCCAGGTGTCCTGGGCAAGTGCTTTTTCCTGCCTTGGGGATTGCTGCTGTGGCTCTTGACAGCAGCTCTGTTTTCCCAGAGGTGCTGCATTGCGAGGGTGGTCGAGTTGGTCACCATGTGGATGGAGTATGCTTGTCTGCCCTTTATGTAGTTTCAAATGCTCTGGTGCCACATAAATGTGACTACTTCTTCTTTTGTGGTCTATTACCAAAATTACTTTAAAATTGTCTGAATATTTTGTGGCCATTAGAAAATCAGCCAAGTAAATCAAGCTTTAAAGCCTAGGCCTGCTGTCAATGTCCTCTTTGGCTTTATAGCCACTGAAGACATTTTTTTAGAAACATGCTTAATTTATTCATATTTCCTCCTCACCTTTGTCTCTTTCCTATCAATTTATACAGAGTACATGGGTCACATTACTCAGGATTCATCAGGGCCAGGTAATAATAAGAGTCACGTCAAAAAAAACCCACCGTACTGGTTTTTTCCCAGCTAGTGAATTTTGCTTTTCCATTCACATGTCAAGGGAAATTTGGTCCCAGAGCACCAGTAACTATAGTTACTGGAGCAGCTTTCATTCACCAGGTTTTGTCACATTCAAAAGTTTACTGCTGTTAAATCCATTTCCTGTAGTGCTCTTAATTACTGTTATACCAGAAGTTGACACTTTTTGCCCTGGTGGGAGAGACCGGTCCAGCATATTTGGACTGTAGTACCAGTTGCACACAAGCTTGTAGCAGAATACCTACGTTCAATTTCTTCCCCAGACTAATGTTAGCTATAGAAGAGAGTTTGTGTGCTTTTCCTCAGAAGGCTGAAAGCCTAATTACTACTTTAATGTGTTTATTTTTTTGATCTCTAGATGAGACCTGCTAGAGCCAAGTTTGACTTTAAAGCACAGACGCTAAAGTGAGTACAGCTTGTTACTACTGCCTTGAGTGTTCTTCCTCTGCTTTTTCCCCTAGGATGCTGCATTTCTGAAGTGTCATGCAATTGGATTTATGTTTCGTGAGTGTCTTTCCAGCAGCTCAAAGCAAAGGCTTCCGTAGTAAGGCAGGGAAAAGTAACAGGAATCTTGCAGGTCATAGCCTCTAAAGGACCTTTAGGAAAAATCTCTTCTTTCTCAGTGCATCTATATCCCCTGTGATTTTTAGGGCAAACCTTCATTCTTTACTGGAACAAGTGAGTGCTCTGCTCTGAGCATGGGTGGAGCCATAGGAGAGCACTATGGCCGCTGTTCCTCCATGCACCTTGTAAGCAGGATGGCTGGGTCAGACCTTTTGGCAGCAGCTCTGTCACTGCCCTTGTACTGGATTTGGTAGGGATTCCCCTGGTTGTGTTCTGATTTAGGAGCTGGAAGAACTGTGTTAGTCAGTAACTCACTGTGTAAATCTGCCACACAGATGGTCAGAACAACATAGATGTGCAGAACAGCAGCATCCTTTTCATTACATTAAGCATAGCCCAAAGTCAGCAAGGGACTTAAACAGATGCCTACCTTTAAGCCTGTAGGCGGGCACTTGACTCAGGATTTTCCTGATTCAGGACCTATAAGGGTACAGGGTGGTCACTGCTCCCCTGGCATCTGTGGATACACCAGTGGATGTTTCTGGTGGCATTGTTGTACCTCTGAGCCCTGTTGTGGTCCCTCAGGAGAATCACACAGCACTGCTTGTTCTTTTGGGGGAATACTGCTGTGAAGAGAAAGCCTGGAAGGCCTTGCCCTCTGCATGAGCCTGGAGAAGCCCTCATTTTAACATTGCTAGGGAGGGAAGAAAGAATAATAGAATTCAGTAAAGGACCTTCTGTTTTTCCTCTCAGATGTTAATGTCCTAGGAATATTTTGTTATATATTTATCTATCTCTCTCTATATATAGGTGATCATTTGTAATGATTTACATCTTCCCAGCACCTGTAATAAAACTGAGGCAGATGTAAGGTGTAACTGTTGTGTCCCTTGAGCAGAACGTACCAGGATGCCAGACAAAAGTAAAGGAGAGCTTGTGAAAATCATGTTAGGAAAGGCTGGGTTCTTCGTTTTCCTGTGGGGACCCAAGTAGTGTCGTAGAATCATAGAATAGCAGGTTGGAAGGGACCTCAAAGATCACCTGCTCCAACCTTTCTTGGGAAAAGCATGGCCTAGATAAGATGACCCAGCACCTTGTCCAGTTGAATCTTAAAAGTGTCCAATGTTGAGGACTCCACCACTTCCCTGGGGAGGTTATTCCAGTGGCTGATTGCTGTGAAAATTTTTCCTCTTGTGCCTAGTTGGAATCTCCCCAGAAGTAACTTGTACCCATTACCCCTCTTCTTTTCCATGTGACTTCTTGTAAAAAGGGAGTCTCCGTCTTCTTTGTAGCCACCCTTTAAACATTGGAACATGGTCATAAGGTCTTCCCTAACCCTTCTTTTCTCAAGGCTGAACAGACCAAATCCTCTCAGCCTTTCCTCATATGGCAGGCTTCCCAGTCCTTTGATCATCTTTGTGGCCCTACTCTGGACCCTTTCCAGCCTGTCCACATCTTTTTTGTACAGCTGGGACCAAAACTGAACACGGTATTCCAGGTGCGGCCTGACAAGCACTGAGCAGAGTGGAATAATGACTTCTTTATCTCTGCTGCTGATGCCCTTGTTGACGCAACCCAGCATCCTGTTGGCTTTCTTTGCCACTGCAGCACACTGTTCACTCGTATTGAGCTTGTTGTCCACCAGGACCCCCAGGTCCATTTCCACAGAGCTGGTCTCCAGCCAGGTAGATCCCAGCCTGTGCTGTACTCTTGGATTACGTTTTCCCAGGTGCAATACTTGGCAAACTTACAAGGTTTTTCTTAGCCCACTCTTCCAGCTTATCCAGGTCTTCCTGCAGTGTGGCTCTCCCTTCCAAAGTGTCCACTTCCCCTCTCAGTTTGGTATCATTAGCAAACTTCATGAGGGTACAATTGATCCCATGATCTAGATCACTTATGAAGATATTAAACAGCATTGGGCCCAATATTGATCCCTGGGGTACACCACTTGTGACAGGTTGCCAGTTTGAAAAAGACCTGTTTACCACCACGCTCTGGGTGCGGCCTGTCAGCCAGCTCCCCACCCAGCACACAGACCACTTACCTAGACTGTAACGCATCAGTTTTTCTAGGAGGAGGCTGTGGGGAACCATATTGAAAGCCTTGGAGAAATCCAGTAGACAACATCCACCGCTCGCCCCGCATCAACTGAGGAGGTTACTTTGTCATAGAAGGTGACCAGATCTATCAAGCAGGATTTGCCTTTGGTGAATCCGTGCTGGCTTTTCCCAATCACGTGCTTCATTTGACCTGCGATAGCCCCCAGGAGGCTTTCTTCCATAATAAACCTACCATGCTATGTTTATGAGCCTAGTACAACCTGCCCACAGTGGGAATTGCTCAAGCTCCAGACATTCATCATTTTAGTACTGAAGACTGTAGATTGAAATCCCAGTTGTTAGCCCAGGTGAGGTCAGGAGTTGCACAACCACAGGTTGACCAGAAGTGTAATTGTTGCAGAATCAACATTGGCGTGTGAGGGGGTTCATCTAATTAGCAAACTAGCTTCCATTAAAATCATGTGTCTCTTTGGAAGGCACTTGTGACATGACCTGTTTCAAAACAGGAATTGAGCACTGCTTAAGGTATCCAACATGGAAGGCAGCCAGTGGCATCTTTTGCTTGAGCTTGACCCCCTTGCTGCTGGAGGGTGTGCGGTTAGTAGGGCTCTTACAGGCCAGCTTTTTTGACAGGATGCCCAAAGAGCAAGAGAGTCCCTGCACATCATGATATGAAAAGGGTAATTCTCAACATGTAGCTTTCACTTTGGGTGGAACGCGATTTGTATCAACAGGGCTGATGCAGACCTTGGTACCTAGGAATTGGTGGACAGAAAAACACATTGGCTCTCTAGTGAAGTTCTGATAGAGTGCTTGTGTTGTTAACAGGGAACTTCCTCTGCAAAAAGGAGATATTGTTTACATTTACAAGCAGATTGACCAGAACTGGTATGAAGGTGAACACCATGGCAGAGTTGGCATCTTCCCACGATCATACATAGAGGTAGCTGCTTTCCTTGCAGGTGTTCTCTTTGCCCACTCCCTTTCTGCCAGTGACCAATTTATGGGCTTTTTGTGACTCATCTGATTGTGTTTGTTCATTCTAGCTTCTCCCACCAGCTGAGAAAGCTCAGCCCAAAAAGCCATCACCATTGCAAGTATTGGAGTATGGAGATGCTATTGCTAAGTTCAACTTCAATGGCGATACCCAAGTGGAAATGTCCTTCAGAAAGGTAGGACTTTTCTTGTGCTGATGAATTGAACCCAGACAAATGCTGAAGTTTTTTAACACTAATAACTTGCAATTTCCAAATGAAAGCTCCAATAAGATGAATTCTGTGTTCAGAAAGGTTTCCTTCTCATCACCTATGTTTTTTACTCCATAGTCATTATGGCATTGTAGTGAGAGTGCTGCTGAATCAAGAAGTGCCAGTTGCTTCCTTAGGGCTAGCTGAGAGGTTACTTGGAGCACAAGTGCTGGAAGCCTGGCTTTGCAAGGCAAATTGGATATTCGGTGGCATGTCTCCGGTGGAGATGCACACAGTCACATGAGAATGCCGATACAGAAAAGAAGGAAACTGAATTCACCTTCCTTCACAGGACAAGCCAAATCATTGAGGACAGACCAAGTGAAGGTTCTGTGGTATTGAAGTGACTGGCTAGACCTGTCTGCAGAGTTAAGGGACAGGAATGGGTTGTGGAATGGCTGTTCAGAACAAAGTTAGCCATATTTAGGTAGCAGCATTTCTCCATCTCAACCAGCCTTCTGTTTTGATGCTCAGATTAGATCTTGTCTGTCTTTTAATTATACAGAAAGGTGGGGCTTGCAGTTTATATTAAGGATCTGGAAGTCACTTCATAGTCAGCAAAACAGGAGAGAGCATAGAGAGACCTAGTTTAAACTGCAGACCTGTGCATACTCTCTGTGTACCTCAGACCCCTGGGAGTCTCATGGTCAGTGTGAAACTGGCTTTGGCAAAGGAGGGTCTTGAAAGTGTGAGCATGACCGAGCCTGCAGACAGCTCAAGTCAGCATCAGAACATCTGCATTCCCTCCTTCTCTGAATTGAAAAATGTTCCCACCTAGAGGTTAGGACCACATAACTGGGAAATAGGGGAGGCTGAGAGCTACTGATTGTTTTAAGTCAGCTGCAGCAAGATTAAAAATGTAATCTGCTTTGGAATGATGAAATATGCTAAAGTCAGGACTTCATTACTCCTCCTTCCCACAGGGTGAAAGGATCACGTTGATTCGACGGGTGGATGAGAATTGGTATGAAGGAAAAATCTCTGGCACCAATCGCCAAGGCATTTTCCCTGTCACTTACGTGGAGGTGCTCAAACGACCAGTGGTCAAGAATGCCATTGACTATCCTGACCCACCAATGTCCCTCTCCCCTAACCGCAGCATGACAGCTTCACCACAGGTATTTGGACTAGCTGTAGCTGGTTACAGCACCTTGCAGAACAGAGGGATGTTGCCATTGCTCTGCAAGAAGCAATAGCTGAAAAAAGCTTTAGCTAAGACTAGGGTTTTGCACAGTAAAAGCCATATGGTCCCTGCAGTATTCTGCAACTGCAAGAAAAGCTGGTGTTTCACTTGCCAGAAAGGTTAATGAACACGTCATTTGGGGATTTGGAGACTCAGCTTTTCATCTCTGATCTGTAGCTTAAATTCAGGCCAGGTTAAAAGGGCTACAGTTCACAGCCGTCTGAATAAATTTCGCTGCAGAGATGGAATGAATTGGTGATCCAGCTCCTCCTGAGTGCATGTTTACACTTATAGACCTCCACTGTGATGAGTGAATTTTTTATTATGACTATTAAAAGGACATCTCAGACTTCTAGTCTGTTGGAGTCATTATGTTGATTCCGGTAGCTTGAGTCAAGCTGTATACTTATTCCTAAATGTTTTGGGAGATGGGGTCAGGAAGCACCTTGTATTATTTGAAATTGGTGCTAAATGAATTCAGGTTCATTTACTGGCAGGCCAGTCTGGGATCTTCCTTGAATATTAGAGTCACTACAAACCATAATGCAGTTCAAACCAGAAATCAAAATGCCAGTAGGAATTGTATGGGGATCCCAGAATGTTTGCTATGGGAAACATGTCAGGGAGGCAGTGAGTCTCTAAATCCCTTTGTTTTGCTCTCATCCTGCAAATACTCATACTCGAAGGTCAGCATACATGTCTAGGTCGTGGCCACGAAGCTCTGGTGCGTCCCCCTCTCACCCATGGGACCAAAGCAAAGTCATTCTGAGGTCAAGACTGCAAGGAAAAAAGTGAAGAACTGGGATCGGGAGGAAGGGCTGTACGGTACAGGATGGGTGGGAAAGGCTGCCATGGCTGATGCCTGGTGTCTGTCTAGATCTTCCCTAAAAGGAGTGCTTTTATTCTTAGCCACTGTGTAAAGAGGAAGGATTTGTTTGTTTGGGGTTCCCTGTCAAAGTGGACCTCAGCTGAGCTTTTCTGTTCGAGCTTGGCAATCTCCATAGCTGTGGCCTGTCTGCTACCAGCTCTCTGAAAACTTCTCCCATTGATGGAAGGGATCATATCCACCCTTTTTGTGGTTTCCTTTGCTATTCTTTTGATTCCTCCCCTAGTAAATCAGTTCTCTCCCTTACTTTTTTGCCTAACTTGGCAGAGGACTTAGAAATGCTCTGGTCAGTGCTAATATAGCTGATCTCACTGATGTCACTGGTGGTAATAGCTAAGGGCAGAACTTGTTTTTGTGTTCTGCCTTTATAAACATAGGATCGACTTTAATCACCTAAAGGCCAAATAGCCACAGCTGGCTTTTTTGGTCCCTTTCTCCTCCACAGCTTCAGCAATGCAAGTTTCTTGAGGAGCAGGCATTGCTCATGCTAGAGTTGGATAAAGTCAAAATTCATTGCAGCAGTGAATTCTGACTAGATCCAGAGTGTGAGTTACTGGCGTGCCAGCTATTAATGCCTGCAGGCCAGTCAAATGCTGCATGCTGCCATCATGGATGGTGGCTTCAGCTGCTCCCTGGGAGACTTAAGCCATATGGTATGAAGTATAAGATCTTCCATAAGATATTTTGTGTCTGGGATCCTGGCAAAGGCTGGAGAATGGTATTAGCAGCACAGGTACAGATTGGACTCCATGGTTGGAGTAGCTGTGGACAGCATGTTCTCCGACATGATGCACCTGTCCATAGAAAACTTACGTGCCATGCTTGGTCACAGACCTGCTCGTCTCCACACTCACTCTCTCTCCTTTTACTTTTCTTCAGTCGTTTTGTATTTTCCTTTATTATTTTTTTGTTCATTTTTTTCTTTTTCTCTCCTGCTTTTGTCTCCTTCAAGTCTCCCAGCTCTGAGCTGCTCCATGCACCAACTCCTCCACCTTTGCCTTTCGCGCGCCGTGCCTTATCTCCAGAGGTACAGGCAGTCACATCTGAGTGGATTGCTCTGACCGTGGGAGTGTCTCCTAGCACCACTCCTGCCATAACTCCTCCATTGCCTTCTCCGCCTGAAGTGTCCCTCTCTCACACTGACTATCTCTCGCCTTCTGCTGCAGTCAGCCCTTCCCCCACGGTCAGCCTCCACCATTGTCATTTCTCTGGCTCCTCGACTCCCAGGTCCATTAAATCCCCGTTGCCCTCTTACTCATCCAGACCTCAGTCCTCCGCTCGCAGTTTCTATCAGGCTACTCCGCAAAGCGAAGAAAAGTTTGTTCGCTCCCCTTCTCCCAGTGTGAGCTACTCTAACTCCCCTCGCTGGGCAGTGGAGAGCCCCGAAAGCGTCCTCGCAGAGCAGCATTACACCACTGGCAGCCAAGCCTGCCTCCAAAAGACTAGAGAGGGCAGCGGCAACCCTGAGCAGGGTGCTCATGCTGCTTCCAAGATTTCTGTGGAGCGCTGCCTGAAACCATCCCAACTAGACATGCGTGTGAGCCCAGAAAAGAGACCTGTGGGTTCCTCTGAGGACAACCAGTTGTGTCAGGAACTAATGGCTATTGTGCAGGGAGGTAAAACAGAGAAGAGAGGCATGAGGAAAGGTGATCTGGGAAAGTTTCAAAGCGGGGAAAAGAAGGTACTTCTCCTGCATGTGTGTGTGCTGCTCTGAATTGCTGATTTTAACTGGTGTGTTAAGTTTTGTGCTGCTCTGCTGGCGAGGCAGAGCCAGTGGCTGCCACATAGCCTTTTGATAATCCTAAGGCCTTCTTCCAGAGGTCACCAGTGGCATTCACTGGTTAGCAGATCAAAAAGTTTTAGAAGAGAGTTCAGGAGTGTAGGGGAAATAATTTTAGAATAGATAATAGCACAGGACTGACTCAATTGGTCACCTCTAAGGAGGTGATTGTCCCAGGTAGTGACTATTACCAGATGTGTCAGATGAAAGTATCACACAGGCCTCATGCTCATATACCTCACTGTGTAGAACACACACAGTTCCTCACTATTTAGAGATTTTCCAGTGTGCAATGGATCACCTTTGGTTACAAGATTTATTTGTTCCTCCAAAAGACAAGGACTGAAAAGCCTTGTAAATGCCAGCCTGGCACCTAGAATCACAAAAGCTGTCCCCTGTTGAGCCTGGAGCCTGTGGTTTAATGAGCCCTAGTCTGGGATGTGCATGACTAAGTCAGGGAGGCTTGATTGTTTTCTATGCATTGAGTGGAATTTATTACCTTTGCATTTCTGAAATGATGTGAAAGGGTATAGCCACAAATGAGAACTAGACCTAGGGATACTTTTCCCCAAGAGTTTTTAGCTATATGTAGCTATATGTTACAATGAGCCGGAACATAAGGGCACCCTCCAGTAGCTTCTACAACATACATTCTGTCCCCAATCTTGGTATAGGAGATCTGCATTGCTTTGCAGCTCTCAGTTGACTTGGGGTCCGTTGTGGGCTACAGCCAGCCCAAATACATTATGGCACTCCCATGCTACCTTGTATAAGAGTGGAAGTTTGGAGAGATCAAAATCACAGCATTGTAAATACTGTCTTCGATGCACTGTGATAGCCTCCGTGACATACCCCATCTAGCCAACATTAAATAACGAGGAACTAAGATTTCTAAGATGACACATTTCATGCTGGGAAATCTTATGACAAATCATTTGATTTCTGCTTGAATCATAACCAGAAGTGTCTTGAAAGCTGTATAAGGACTGTGCTGTTTACCATCTAGATGTATTTTTAGTAGCATTTTTTACAAGCATAACCTGCATGTTTAAAACAGAATGAGGTGGTCAGCTCAGACAAACCAACTGGAAAATGCACTTGCCCTTGCATGGAGTTACGTTTGCTGTGTGTGCATCAAATTTACTACATAGCAGCTGCTCTTATCACTAGCAGTGATTGTGATAAGAGAGTGTGTGCCAAGCTGACCAACTTTTCTTTTCTTCAAAAGACTGCAGACTCAAAAGCATTCTCTTCATCTGCTCCTCTTTCTTCCTCTGCCCTCTCTTCCTCTACTGTCACAACACAGCCACCTCCCAGACTTACACGCAGAGTCAGTAAGCCACAGGTAATCATCTTTGTTGATTACTTTCCCATTACTTGGAGTTGTTTCCATGCCATGTCCTTGTTTTGTCATGTGCTTGTTTAGCCATTCATTGATTGCAAGGTGAGGTATTTCTCCTGTCAATTAATTTAAAATTTTTATTTTTTTGTAAAAATAATTTAAAAATAGTTCCAGGCTGTGCAGAAGGGCAAGTATGGGCAAAATCTTCAGCTGGTGCAAATCCATGTAGCTCAAATCTGGGTTTCTGGCAGTTTGTACCAGCTGAGGATTTGATTTTCTGTTCCTCCAAAGGATTAACCCAGGGCTTACTTAGCTCTGACCTTGAGTTCCTACAGCTCAATTGCATTATAAGGCAGTATCCATGGCCTTGTTAGCAGGAATAATGTAGCATGAGATACTTTGATTCAGGTTTTGTTTGACACCTGAGATCAGGATTCAGGGTTTGAGCATCTCAGAGCTGCTGGGGGTAAGGCATACACAACTTGGTATCCACAATGTCAGGGACCTGTTCCAGCCTTCTCAGGAAGGATTCAGAGGTTCACAACTCTACTGCTGACAGCTACAAACATCTTTAAAGATGGATGCAGTAGGGTCTGTGCAGCATAACTAACTTAGCCTCAGCGCTGTGTGGCTGGGATGCCCAGGGTCCGGGGATGAGCAGTGCTTGCAGCTGCTGGTGCCTTGTCAGCCGTTCCAGGCAGCTTCCACAAGATGGCAATATTTGAAACAGAAACCTCACAATTAGAAAAAACTGGACTGAAATTGTAGTGATGGGTATTGAGGAAGCAATCTTTGACTTGATCAGTGAACCAGGCAGGCTGCTTATGCAGGATGACCATGCGAAGTAGTTGCCAAGGGTACTTATTTTCTTGATCAGTTTATGAGAGCAAGATACAGCTTTAACTCTGAAGTTTTCCTGTTACCTTTATTCACCTCATTTCCCTCCAATTGTGAGCTTGCACAACTTTTTACTGAACAACCACCTCCTGTTTCCCTTTGAGTTTCATATCTGACTCCAATAGGATATATATTCTGCTTCACATTAAAACTCCAGAGAAGTTTTCTGTGTTGGCCTTTCTCCTGACCTCTGATCTGCTTGGTCCTGCTGGTCCTTGCACTGGATGTTTGTGATTCAAAAGAGCAGGAGCAAAGAGCCTCATTTAGGAAGAGATGTTTCTCCCAAGTGCTGACTAGCATACAGTTCTATTTTGGGTGTTGCACCTGGAAGTAATAGGACCCTGTGGCCTTTCTTTAGAGTTGAAGTCAAGCCAAAAATTATATTTTATATGCTTTGACAATCAGAGCATTGTCGGTGTCAAGTTAAAACTGTGTGTGACATTATCAGTAGTCTTGACCTCCTTTCCAGCTCTGGGGCTACAGTTGTTTAGGGAGCAGGAGTGGTATTTATATGTGCAAATGGCTTCTCCTTATCTGCATGACCCATACAGAGGCTGACAGCTTCAGCAGAACTGCAAGTAATACCCTAGAGGCCTTTTCAAAAATCTGTCATCTTTTCATTGATTTTAATCAAATGAGAGAAGCCCTTGGTAGACCTGGAAATGAGACACTACATTTGTGGTATGTTTCCATTGCTATCCATCCCAGGTGTTTGAGGTATTTTACCATTTTGAATTTTAGTTTTCTTATTATAGAGAACCTCCCCAGTTACAAAATTCCAACCCAGGGGTTTTTGCAGGTTTAAGACTTCTTTGGTACAGGACTAGTGTAAGGATTGTGTTCTTGCCTATTCCGTTAAGTAATAATATAAAATACAATAGCTCTTTTAGCTATTCTGAAGTTATTCCCTTTTGTTTTGTTTCACAGTCCAAACTAAAAAGAAAAAAAGAATTACCCCACAGCACGTGAAAGATATTTCAAGTATAACTTACAGATAATTTGTTTCAATATTCTGGTAAAACATTGTATTAAGCAGCAATTAATTTACTTCAGGGGACCCTTGGGAATTTTATAGTTTAATTCCTGTTTTACTCTGAGGTCCTGTTAGCACAGTGTGTCAGTCAGCAGTGTTGTGAGCAGTGCAGAAGCTTTGGCCTCAGGCTGGACTGTGGCTGTGGTGTGGGGAAGGCAGGAATGGCTGGACGAGGGTCCCTGTATCGCCCGGCAGTGTGAGGGATGTCAGGTGAGGCTGGCTGCTCCTTCCTGCTTGCACAAAATCACTCAGAGTGGCGAGTAACTTCAGCTGCTGTGTGCTGGTAGGAGAGCATATGAGGGCGGATGCTCAGACACCCGTGTTCCCCAGCACAGACCAGCTACGCTTACTTAGCAAGGTCATTACTTGGCACCATCTCCAAGGTAAGCTGTTATCGCCCCTCAGTGGCTTTCTGCTGCTCTACAGGTTCAGCACGGCGGCCTTTCTGCCCAGCGCCTTTGTTGTCCAAGCCAAAGCTGCACAGCCCGCAGCAGGAGTTGGTACCTGCTCCCTGTGGGAGATGCGTTTTTCTGCTGCAGACACATCTTTCAGCTTCTGATACAGGGGACAGGGAGTCTTTGACTTTGACAGCCTGTAGCTCAGGCTGCTCTGCACTGCAGCCTTTTCAGCGTCTTTTGTCAGAGCTCTTTGGCCAGCTTTCCCCTCGCTTTCGCCAGAGCTGGGGCTTGGTGTGTGCAGAGGTTTTCAATTTTTCTTTTGGCTGGGCTGGGGAGCCCTCCCTGCTCATGGTTCTCCTTTCGTGTGTGGGAGCATCACTGCTGATGTGTGCCCTTCTCTGAGGGGATATCAATTTGTCTGTCTGTCTTGTGTGTCTATTAGTCTGTTCTGCTTAGCTTTCTCTTTGCTACTAGTTCTTTAACTCCCAGCAGAAAGAAATGGAAGAAGACACGTAAACAAGAGCTGCAGTGGATGCTCACGCTGACACTTGACTTCGCTAGGAGCAGGGAGAGCACTACTGAGTAGCCCCAGCATCTTCCTTCCTAAAAGTTAAAACCTGCCTCAGGGCTTTTCTAGGCTTTTAATGTAGAAACGTTTTCTGGTATTCTTACAAACCTGTGGTGCCCTTTAGACCCATCCACAAACTCTGTATGAGGTGACAACAGTGGCCAGCTGTGATTCAGGAGTGACTGTACTGTATATTTGTAGTCTGTAGACATGGAGTTGTAGACGCTTAAGCACTTGCTTAAGTTTATTCACCTAGTCTTAACAAAGCACCTAGTGTGACTGAGGGCGTAGGAGTTGGGCTGTCCTCACTGGTTGTGAATACGTGGTCACTTTTAGGGCCCTCAGTTTACCTCCAGCAGCAGCAGAGCTGGCTCAGTGTTTTGGGGGAACCTCTGTGTTCTATATTTTGGAGCTGTGCCCCACACTCACTGATTCCTCAGCCACCTCTGGCACACGGAGCCACCACTGTAGGTAGTACACGGGCTCTCCGAACTCATGTTTGAAGAGCATTTGGACCTTGGTGCCATGCTAACAAGTTCACTTGTTTGAAGCAGTGCGGTGGCGCATTTATAGCCCAAAATTATAGGATCTGATCTGGTCAGTTTTCATCCCATTTGGCTAACGCTGTGTAGTTGCTGACTTCAGGGTATTTCATCACCTCACTTGTAGGGCTCAGCTGTAGCCCTGTGAGTTAGTGCAGAGACACCCACCTTTGGTAGGTGCTGCCTAGGCCGAGCAGAGGGGATTCGCTTAGTCCTGCCTTAGTCCTTTAGGCAGATAAAAAGTCCTTAGTCTTGTGAGGAAGTGGGAGCTGCTAGGAGAGCAGGGGACTGCTTGGCCTCTGCTGCTGCCCAGCTGTTTCGTGGAAGTCCCTGAAAAGATCCTGCCAGGAAAGGAAACATGGCCAAGTTTCTGACGCTGGTAGGCTGCACCTCCTGGTATTGCGCATACAAACCTGCACCACAGAGTTTTCAAAGGTAGTGTCAATTTTTTAACTTTCAAATAATGAATTTAATTCATAGTTATATGTCGTCTTGGAGGAAAAGCTGGTCAGGGAGATCACAAGTAATCAATGAGGAATGGACCATGCGGTCTTACGAGCTCATGGAGCAATCCTAGCAGTCAATTTATTAGTATGGAGCAGAGAAGCACTTTATGAATTTAAAAAAAAAAAAAATTCTTACAGCTGTGTCTCACCTCAGCCTCGAAATTGGTTTTCCCAGCTACTTGACCTGAGTTAGCTCTGATCTCATCAGATTTGATCTACTATGTCCAGTTGGAATGCACAGTATTAATTTTAAATTTCCAATTATTCCATTCCATAGCCCCTTTCAGGGCTGATGATAGACAGGCAGGGATGACTTCTAGAAATCCTGTGATGATTTCAGGCTCCAGAGTAGATACTTTGAATGTGAATTCCATGGCAATTAGCCCATCCAACTTAGATTTAATTTTCTCTCTGTAGAAGTATACATGGTAACAGCATTGTTTCTTAGGGCAGTGATCCCAGGTTCCAGCCCCAGACAGTACAGCTGACTACAGAGGAGTTGCTGTGGGGTAAGGTTGGCCTAGAGTGGGTCACAGTCCTTGAGAAGAGACAGTTTAATACAATGATGGGCACAGCTCCAGAGGTCCAAGATGTGGTTCAGAGGAGCTTTGAGAACAGGAATTAGACAGGGATGAGCTCATCACCCTGCACTTCTCCAAAATCTTTGAGCATGCTTGGGCTGAAGAGGTCACAAACCTCTTTATCCTCTGCTTCTGCTCTGTCTCAGGATGCTGTGAGAAAGCAAGCCTTTTACTGAAGGGCATTGTTGAAGTGAATAAAGAGGAAGAAGGAAAGCATAAAAATTGAGGCCTTTGGAATTTGGGTTGAAAATTGTGTTGAATGATCACAGAGGATGGCAATGCACTGTATCTTAGCCAGTCCACTTTGCCAAGCAGTCCTGCAGGCAGTATAAATAACCCTACACTAGTTCAGACATCCCATTTGTTCACAGCATGCCCCTTGCTTTCAGTAGGCATTCGAATATGCAAAAAGCATGCAAACCAGGGTCTGGGTACCTGTGTGACTTTCTCAGTGACCTTCTTCCCCATAAAACCTCCAACCCCAAACACCCTGATTTTCCTTGCTGTGCCCTCAGACACACGAGTCCCTGTGAAGAGTTGTGACTGGGGAGAGAGGCAGGGCAGAGTCCAGAAGCTTCACAGGTGGTGATTGGAGCTGGGTCTTCCAGTCAGGGCCTCCTCTGACCTGAAGCTCTGCCTCGTTGTGGGAATTAATAGGGCAGCTCAGATCCTCACTTGGTGCAAGCTAGAGTCATTTTGATGGGGCTACACAGCATTGTGCCTTCTGAGGACCTGAGCTGGTCTTTTTTAAGAAGCAAGCGAGTTACTATTCTCTCCTGTGTCAAAGTCATTGAGGACTTCTCTAAAAACAGCAGCAGATTCCTCTCGGCATGCTTTTGGCCTTTCAAGTTTGATGCTCTCAAGTATGTGCTTCTATCCTTGGGGTTTTTTCCCCCTACAGGAATGCAGTATGACTCTATGTACCATTTCTGGTTGTGGCAGTGTCCATAACCTTCCATTCTGCTTCCCTGCTCTGAGCTTCTGTTTCACTGTCACCTTTCTCTTTGCAGCATTCTGTGTGCTGCAATGTAGTTGTATTACTGTAGGCTTAATGTCTCTTGTGTAAATGGAAGACCTTGATGTCTAAGAAGCATGGTGTTGGGGTGGGAGGGGAAGAGTTGTTAATTTTCTTTTGTTGTCTGCGCTCCATTTATTTTTTTTTTTTTAATTCTGACCGATGTAACATCTGTTAAAATGTCTTATCATTTGCTTGGTGATCACACAGCCTTCCCATCATTCATTGAGAGCTGGACCAGATCTCACAGAGTCTGAAAAGAGCTATGTGGTAAGGCCACTGTTTAAATCAGATGTGTAGTCCTAGACTCTCTTCACCCCAACAGTAACATCTTAGTAGAGATAAAAAGCCAGCACTACTTTTAGTTGCAAAGTAGGTACATATTTATCTATTTGCATATAATGTTCTGTTTGCAACAGAAAAAAGGGAGTTTAGCAATAAGAAAAACTGTCATAGCCAATGAGAAGTTGGGCTAATTGTGCTGCCCAGCCCTGGGTATAAGTTAAATGAAGGAAAATGCATGAACGGAGCGGCCCGCCTTGCATTCTTGAACTGACTTCATAGCGTTTGTAACGGTGCCACTGCATAACTAATTGCAACCTCTTATGCTACTGCTTTTAAAAATATATGTATATGTATTTGTTACAAATCTTCAAACTAAATGCCAAATTCTTCTGTATCTTGCCTGTTTTTCCATGCTTACACCTGGATCCCTTCTGCACTCCACTACCTGGATATTTACCTGGATCTACAACTCTTTTTTTTTTTTTTTTTTTTTTTTTTTTTTTAAACTGGACTTACGTGCTGCATCTGGAATGTCCCATCTCTTCTTGTCTATATTTTCCCCTCCCTCCCCCCTGTTGACTGTCCTTTGGGTGTTCTTGGATGTCAATGCTGCCCACCACGCAGGAAGCTGTTTGCAATGAGATCATAAACATTGCAGAAAAGTCTGTTCATTACTGCAGTACTATTTCTCAGCCTCTTGACTCTCGCCACAAGGTGACCTCTAATGACCATAAACCATCTCTCATCATTTCTCAGCAACCTCAAGCACAGCAGCAAGGAGCCAGCCCTGACAGAAGTCAAACACCACGAGACGTGTAAGTCCTTTTGGCTCCCATCTCTTCCAGGGGACTTGTCTCTTACTGGTGATGGAGATGAGGTGTGAAAGCTTTAGCATTTCAGTTCAATTAGAATTATGGGAAAGTGTCAGCTTTTCTTTAAAGAACAAGAATAGCCACATATCATCATAATGATTAGTTAAATCATTGGGGACCTGGGACCTTTGTGTCTGTATAGCACCTGAAACAATGACCTCATGATCCAGGACTGGGTCTCCTTTGGGCACTTGATTCATGCTAGTTATGGAGACTATCTCACTCTCTTTGTATCTTGAAGAGGGAGACAAATTAATATCCACTGGCTACACCTGTCTCCTACAGTGTGGGTCGATGTGTTCACCCCTGTTCGTAGCTTCTCATGGTACAGTGAGTAGTCCCAACACCATTGCCACTCGGTGCGTTGTTGGCCAGTTCCGCAGATGAATTGGTGGCTGAATGATCTGGCAGACCAAGGCTGAGATTTTCAAACCTGTCTGGTGGGTTTAAACCTGGAGCTGCTGTTAAGCTTGGTGGGGCCTTTCACTGATGGTTTTGAGAAGAGTAGCCTGCACTGCACACTGGGGACTGCAGTTCCTTGGCAATTTTCCCCCACCCCTTTATGCAGAACAGAAAGTCTCACATCAGCTTGGTTTTCACTCCCCACAGGCAGGGGATGCAAGGTACCCCAAATGTGCCCAAAGATTGTTTCTACTCTGTAAGTTCCTTTCTGATAAATACAGAGTGCTTCTGGTGCAAGTGTTATCTCAGGGCAGGAGTCACCTTTCAATTTTGTTTGCACTATACCTCCTCAGCCATGATTTATCCAGCCACCTTAACACAGTATACTAGGCAGTATCTTTTTCTGAAGTCCTTCACTCTGCCGTTTGGTCAGTCATGGCCCTGCTTGTGTGCCTGGACAAGGGACCAGATGCCTCTTTTAGCCCAGGAATGAGCGCATCCAGGTTTTGGCTTGCATTCAGTTGGATGTCTGCGCTCGTACGCTGTCTGGGTGCTACATATTAGGAAGACTCCAGTTGTTACAGTCTATGGAGACAACTACATGGCAGAAAAGAAACAGGAGCTCTCTGCATATCCCACACAGTGCAGGCATGACGCTTTTTACTGCCATGGCCTTGTCACAACAGCCAATTTAATGCTGTTCACCTCTTAAATGGAAAGCAGAGGTCCAGACTGCATTGAACAAAATATAATAGGAATTAGAAAGGTGAAGAGAGATGTCTTCTTCTGAAAGGATGTCAGGGAAATCCAACAGCTAACATGCTGTATCTTTCTGGTTTCAGAGTTAGCTACCAAGCCCTCTACAGCTACACTCCTCAGAATGATGATGAGCTGGAACTGAGGGACGGCGACATTGTCGATGTCATGGAGAAATGTGACGATGGCTGGTTTGTGGGTGAGTGTGACGCTTGCCTGTCAGCAGAGTGTTTTGAGATGCAGATGAGCAATTTATGGGGTCAAAACGGTGAAAAAAAAATTTTTTTTCCACAATTTCTCATCTTTTCCCACCAAGAAGATTAAAATTACAGCGCAGGGTGGTGGAGCTTTGTTTCCCTTGCTAGGTCTCTAGTTTTTCATTTTTTCTCTGCTTAATTTCCCCATTCTGCTCTTCCTCCCTGATCCGTCTTGCTCACACAGAAAAACTGGATTTCTCTTCCAAAGCTGAGGAAACCATGGCAAGTTACAGAAAGTGGCAAGTAGGGGACGAAGGGAACACATGGATGGGAGTTGCAGTCCCTGAAAATCCAGCCTCATCTGCAGCTATATGTTTAGCAAAATCTAGCCCTTTACCTTCAAAGAATGCAAGTCTGGGCAGTGTTCTCCGTCTCAACACTGCAAATCTAGGCTTGTTATCTCTTCTTCAGGGAGATTAGCTCATTTACACTGATATTAGCTCATTTACACTGATAGGGGTTTGGCCGCTAGCCTATAGGCCCAGGAGCTTTCACCAGCATCTTATTATTTGTTAAAAGGGAAGACCAAAGATGATTAGTAGCAGATCTAGTTGTAATCTACCAAAAGGCTCTTTGATCAGGACTCGTATTTAGTTTTAGAAAGCTATGCCTGCAGGGAGAAGAGGCTGCCACCTCTACCTTTTTAAACCCCTAAGCCTTCCTTGTGTGGCTCCATCTTACTCTGTCTTCCTTGTGTTTTAATTTGCGACAGGTACATCCAGGAGAACAAGGCAATTTGGCACCTTCCCAGGCAACTACGTGAAGCTTCTGTACCTGTAAAATAACAGTGATCCCACCATGGCAGTAATGAGGTTGTTTTCCAGATGGTGTTTTCAAACAGTGAAGAAACAGACAATTTATGAATGTAATAGAGAAGAGAAGAGACATGTTAGGAGGATGTGGTTATGTGGTACAGTATTGAGTTGAATGTGTAGCCCTGCTTTCACAGATTCAGGGTGTGATTTGTTTGCTGAAGAAGAGACAGTTTCTAGTTTACACTGCTGCCTTTGTGTATTCCTCTTCCCTCCCCAGCAAGAGTTCTGGTGATAATCTTAATTTGTATGGAGTACTTACCTCTGAGAAGGCTTCAGGGAAGCACATGGTATAGGTTTTGTTTGTGTGTTGAGATAGGATAGTGCTTTGGGGCAGTACGCAGCCTTGCAGCTGCTCCCTTTCACTGGCAAGGTTCAGGGAAGCCAGGCTTTCTTCCTGGTTTCTGCCTCACTGAAGACTCACTTTGCTCTGCCTTCCACTTCCATAGAAAACCTTCATGTCATGCATCTCAAGACCCAGCAGAGGCAGAGGAGAGCTGATATGATTAAACTGCAGAGCTCTGTGTGGAAAAGGAGTTTGGGACTGGTGGTTTAATCCAGAGAGGGCAGCCAAAGCATAATGCAAACACGCAAAAATCCCAAACCCATTAATTACATATGACCTATATCTGCAGAGTTTTTTTTTCTTCTGTGCAGGAGGGGTGTGTGTGTGAGTGTATTGTGTGCATCCAAATGAGCAGAGTCCTGTTTTTTAAAGAGAAGTCAGCCTGGCTTTGACGTTTATCTGCACAAAGAATAGAACCAATAAACAGAACATCCGTGAGAGCAAATCCTGTTTGCGAGTCCTACAGCCGTTCACTTTCTCTGCTCCTCCTGGCCCTGTTTGGGCCCTAAAGGATCACACACTTTTTGAAGCATACTCTTTGGGATGAAGACTTTGCTTCTTTCCCAGCATTAAATCTTATAGGCTCTGATAAATCTGAGCAACATATCACTGAGGGTGCCTTTTTTTTTTTAGTTTTTGGTTAGGGTGGCAATGGTAGGTCTCAAATAAATGCATGCATTTCAGCTGCCTCTTAGTCATGCAAACAAGTCCAATCAATTTGGAAAGCTGTTCCCAGCAGTTATTACCACTTACGAAGATTCCTGTTTCCTTGAGAAAAAAAAACATGGCTTGGCTGTATGCTTGCCTATAAACCCACTATGAATACTCTTTTGATACACGTTTTGTTATTAAGAAAAAGCATAAACAAAACTGGTTCTATCAGACTCTGCTTCCTACAGTTACCATACAAATAGCAAAGGGTTAGATTGCTATTTTGTCATAAGCCGTATTTAATAATATAAAATGCCTATTTTTATGCTGATGCTTTTATACGGATTTATTAAGAGTAACTACAACTAACTGTTAGCACGGCTTGTGATGTTTTGATAAACTAGCCATGCTCCTGGGTTTGAAATCAAGTAGGCTTGTCTTCCGCCGAGGTCAGTGGAAGAGAAGACTCAGTGTCTTAGAAGTTTGACTGTAAATATGTATATTTAACTTTGTACAGACAATGTACCTACCTTGTATAGAAAAATAATTTAAACACATTGAGTGAAGGGAGGGGAAAAAAGGCAGTTGTGAAAGGTTGGGATTTTTTTCCACTTTTATTTAAATGATGGAATTCCATGTATGTTCACATAAAGAGTTTTAGCACAAAATATCCATTATGAAAGGGTTTCAGATACGACACAAAGCACCATTGTTTCTTTTCTGCAGGAGATACCTTTAATCCTGCATCTTATTTATGGGTTTGTTTTTCTGCTTTGGATTTGCCCTCCAGTTATTTGCAGCAACATTTAGGCCTGTTGCTAAGATTGGATAACACAAAATTAATCTATCCAGCAAAGTAACATGATGATACTGACTGTATATAACATACTCATTTAAAGGTTTATTTTTTCTTCTTGCTCTTGCCATTTTAAGTTACACACACACACACACGAACCGCAACTTTTTTTCGTTTCTTATTGCAGTGGATTACTATTTGACAATAAATGGAATTACTGAATTACTATTGTGTTCCTTGTACAAATTATTAAATAAAGTCTATTCCTG